AAATCAGAACTTTATTATAAAGAAAAAAGTAAAAGAAGCACCTCTGTAAAATCAGGATGGAAGGTAATTTTACAGGGTAATAAGATTTAAAGACACAGAGGATTCCCCTCTAGGCAAAACTTCAAAGTTACAAAAACAGGAATAAACCTCCCTCTTAGCATAGGGAAAATACACAAGCTAAAACAAAAGATAAACTAATGCATTTTGTGCTATTACTTACAATTTTTGTAATCTTGGATGCTTATTTCAGGTAAGGTTTTAGGAGATGGTTTTCTCCTGCCCTGGTCCCTCTCTGTCCCGGAGAGAACAGCAAAAGGCCACACAAATAAAACCTCCCTCCACAGATTTGAAAGGATCTTCTTCCCTTATTGGTCCTTTTGGTCAGGTGCCAACCAGGTTATTTGAGCTTCTTAACCCCTTACAGGTAAAGGAGGGATTTTATGCTACCCTTAGTTGTATGGTTATGACAGCTCCTTTACACCGTTTTACATTGCTGTGACTCCATTGACTTCAGCAGAGGCACACTGATGTAAAATGGGTGCATGCAGCAGAGAATTAGCTCCATCCTCTCTGGAAAGAGGGAATTTTTCTTATCCTTTGAACTAATGCCTCACATGCAGTTTACACGTTTTTACAAATAGACATTATCAGGGCTTAAATTCTCAGAGTATTTCTGGGAGGCCCCCCCGCCCTTGCTATAAAAACTCCAGAGGGTTGAAAATATTTATTGGAACTCTGATCCAGACAGCTCCGACCGAATTTAAGCCCCGGACATCATCCTCAATTGACCGGTTTCAGAGTAACAGCCGTGTTAGTCTGTATTTGCAGTTGATTTACCTTATTCAGCATCTCTGCATTATATACACAGTATGCAGCCTGGGAAGGTTAAGTATGCATGTGAATTACAACTTCGTGGCCTCTTTATGGCCAGCCTGTGGACAGATGTCTGCAAATGGATAACATGATATGATCTCTTCAGCTATGTGTTTTTTCTGTTTTACTGTCTGTGAGTGATCGTAATGTAAATCACTAAAATGAGCAAACTGAATGCTAGTAATGTGGGACTTGCTATTGGCTAAACACTGACCACGTGTAAGGACAAGTATATCCATATACAAACCCCATCCTACAGCTAGATTCATAGCAAGTAGACATGAAAGGCAAGCAGAGTGGGATGATAGTGTGGGGTTAAATTAAGTCTCCTGCCCTGCTGCTATACAGATTCATAGGCAATGGGCAGATGTGCCACTGACCACAGAAATGTAGTCATTAATACTGTAGCGGAGGACTTAGGGTATATCTACACTACGAAATTAGGTCGAATTTATAGAAGTCAGTTTTTTAGAAATCGTTTTTATATAGTCGATTGTGTGTGTCCCCACACAAAATGCTCTAAGTGCATTAACTCGGCGGAGTGCTTCCACAGTACTGAGGCTAGCATCGACTTCCGGAGCGTTGCACTGTGGGTGGCTATCCCACAGTTCCTGCAGTCTCTGCCGCCCATTGGAATTCTGGGTTGAGATCCCAGTGCCTGGTGGGACAAAAAACATTGTCGCGGGTGGTTCTGGGAACATGTTGTCAGGCCCTTCCTCCCTCTGTGAAAGCAATGGCAGACAATTGTTTCGTGCCTTTTTGCCTGAGTTACCTGTGCAGATGCCATACCACGGCAAGCATGGAGCCCGCTCAGCTCACTGTCACCCTATGTGTCCTGGGTGCTGGCAGACGCGGTACTGCATTGCTACACTGCAGCAGCAACCCATTGCCTTGTGGCAGCAGATGTTGCAATAGGCCTGATGACCATCATCATCGTGTCTGAAGTGCTCCTGGCCGCCTCGGTAAGGTCTGTCAGGAGCACCTGGCCAGACATGGGCGCAGGAACTAAATTAAGAGTGACTCGACCAGGTCATTCTCTTTAGTCCTGCCGGCAGTTCTATTGTACCATCTTCTGCAGGGCAGGCAGGAGATGAGGATGGCTAGTAGTCCTACTGCACCGTCTGCTGCCAGCCAAAGATGTAAAAGATAGATGGAGTGGATCAAAACAAGAAATATACCAGATTTGTTTTGTATTCATTTGCTCCCCCCTCCCTCCCTCCATGAAATCATCGGCCAACAATCGTTTCGGTGTGGTCTGTCGGGGCACCTTGAAAAGTTTAATGGAGATTCAGTCCTGCCTGAAATACCAGGGGAAGGGATAGCTCCGAGGGTTGAGCATTGGCCTGCTAAACCCAGGGTTTTGAGTTCAATCCTTGAGGGGGCTATTCTGTGTGATAGTTGTTTTTCTTTCTCCTTGATGTAAAGCCACCCCCTTTGTTGCTGCTTGGCAGCAGTTCTGCAGAAAAGGACCTAGGGGTTACAGTGGACGAGAAGCTGGGTATGAGTCAACAGTGTGCCCTTGTTGCCAAGAAGGCCAATGGCATTTTGGGATGTATAGGTAGGGGCATTGCCAGCAGATCGAGGGACGTGATCGTTCCCCTCTATTTGACATTGGTGAAGCCTCATCTGGAGTACTGTGTCCAGTTTTGGGCCCCACACTCCCATTTTTCCACTTCCTTCTTGTAAAGAGTCCAGCGGAGGGCAACAAAAATGAGTAGGGGACTGGAACACATGACATATGAGGAGAGCTGAGGGAACTGGGATTGTTTAGTCTGCGGAAGAGAAGAATGAGGGGGGATTTGATAGCTGCTTTCAACTACCTGAAAGGGGTTTCCAAAGAGGATGGATTTAGACTGTTCTCAGTGGTAGCTGATGACAGAACAAGGAGTAATTGGCTGGGATGATTTAGTTGGGGATTGGTCCTGCTTTGAGCAGGGGGTTGGACTAGAGGACCTCCTGAGGTCCCTTCCAACCCTGATATTCTATGGTTCTATGATTAGTTTGATCCTCCAGCAGCCTCAGCATTGAATCCTGCTTCCTCTCATCACACTGCCACCATCTTTCAGCTTCAGCCCGCCACTTACTCTCTTTAGCCTGCCACCTCTCCTCCCAGTCATTTTGTGCTTTCCTGCACTCTGACATTGTCTGAGCATTCGTCTGTGCTCTGTCAGTGTGGGAGGACTGCATGAGCTCAGAGAACATTTCATTGCGAGTGCGTTTTTTTCGCCTTCTAATCTTCACTAGCCTCTGGGAAGGAGAAGATCCTGTGATCCTTGAAACACATGCAGCTGGTGGAGGGGAAAAAAAGGGACAGTGGTATTTAAAAAGACTCATTTTATAGAACAATGGGTACACTCTTTCATGGTAAACCTTGCTGTTAACATTACATACATAGCAGATGTGCTTTCGTTACAAGGCCACATTTTACCTCCCCCCACCGCGTGGCTAACCCCTCCCCTTCCCCCCTCCCCGTGGCTAACAGCGGGGAACATTTCTGTTCAGCCACAGGCAAACAGCCCAGCAGGAATGGCCACCTCTGAATGTCCCCGTAAGAAAAGCACCCTATTTCAACCAGGTGACCATGAATGATATCACTCTCCTGAGGATAACTCGGAGATAAAGAACGGATGTTGTTTGAATGCCAGCAAACATGTTCTGCAATGATTCCCGAGTACGTGCTACTGGCCTGGAGTGGTAAAGTATCCTACCATGGTGGACAGAATAAGGCTGCCCTCCCCAGAAACCTTGTGCAAAGGCTTTGGGAGTACATCCAGGAGAGCCGCGAATGCCAGGGCAAATTAATCATTAAACACGCTTGCTTTTAAACCATGTATACTATTTTAAAAGGTACACTCACCAGAGGTCCCTTCTCCACCTGCCGGGTCCAGGAGGCAGCCTTGGGTGGGTGCGTGGGGGTACTGGCTCCAGGTCCAGGGTGAGAAACAGTTCCTGGCTGTCAGGAAAACTGGTTTCTCCGCTTGCTTGCTGTGAGCTATCTACAACCTCATCATCATCATCTTCCTTGTCCCCAAAACCTGCTTCCAGGTTGCCTCCATCTCCATTGAAGGAGTCAAACAACACGGTTGGGGTAGTGGTGGCTGAACCCCCTAAAATGGCATTCAGCTCATCATAGAAGCGGCATGTTTTACGCTCTGACCTGAAGCGGCCGTTTGCCTCTCTGGTTTTCTGGTTGGCTTGCCTCAGCTCCTTAAGTTTCATGCGGCACTGCTTCGGGTCCCTGTTATAGCCTCTGTTCTTTATGCCCTGGGAGATTTTGACAAATGTTTTGGCATTTCGAAAACTGGAACGGAGTTCTGATAGCACGGATTCCTCTCCCCATACAGCGATCAGATCCCATACCTCCCGTTCAGTCCATGCTGGAGCTCTTTTGCAATTCTGGGACTCCATCATGGTCACCTCTGCTGATGAGCTCTGCACTCACCTGCAGCTTGCCACGCTGGCCAAAGAGGAAATGAAATTCAAAAGTTCGCTGGCCTTTTCCTGTCTACCTGGCCAGTGCATCTGAGTTGAGAGTGCTGTCCAGAGTGGTCACAATGGAGCACTCTGGGATAGCTCCCGGAGGCCAATACCGTCTAATTGTCCCCACAGTACCCCAAATTCGACCTGGCAAGGCCAGTTTCAGCGCTAATCCCCTTGTCGGGGGTGGAGTAAGGAAATCAGTTTTAAAAGCCCTTTAAGTCGAAAAAATGGGCTTTGTCATGTGGACGGGTGCAGGGTTAAATCGATTTAACGCTGCTAAATTCGACCTCAACTCCTAGTATAGACCAGGGCTTACTGTACCTGCAGTTTAACTTGTGCTGAGATGTAAGGGGAATATTAAAAGCAATCTAGCTATGCTCTCCATCTGCTTGTATACAACAATTGGAAATACATACTCTCATTATAACACACCGGACTCTACTGTCATACAATGGATTATGGTACTGATGAGTGACTAGGAAAATGTATATTAACTGAATTGCATTTTGTGCTGTGCAGACTGCAAACTGTTTAACCAGAATAGATATATTATGGGTTAACTTTGCGTAAGAGCTTGACTACTGAGCAGCTGGCCACAGTTTTTTTGTAACTAAATTAATAATACACAATTTTTTATTATGTCACAGATTGCCTCATTCCACATGTTGAAGATGCAGAGGTTCATAACAAGACATACAGGACTGGAGATAAGTTAATAATCAGTTGTCATGAAGGATTCCAGATCCGTTACCCTGATTTAGACAACATGGTTTCAATATGTCAAGATGATGGAATGTGGGATAATCTGCCCATTTGTCAAGGTATAGTGCACCAGAATATCTTACTGTATAGCTCTTACACCTTGTAATCATTTACCAACATTTTTTTCTGCAGCTAAAGAGAATAGCAATAAGATGATAGATCCAGCTGTACAGTATTTCTGCAAAGGCTTTTGGATTTGCTCGGCTCCATTATTCACTTTTGGAAGTAAAATTCCACATTTCAGCATAGCTTTATTTTAAAATATTATGTTAAATGTTTTTTTTTTTTTTTGCTCGTTTAAAATCTGAGGTGAGCATGTCTTCTCTTTTAATGAAACAGGTTGAAATTCACCCGTTAGGTCAGCACAAGGCCCTTTGGACCACCTAAATCTGTGCACTACTTCATTTAGTGAAAGAATTAGGTTTTTTACTGCTTTTCACTTCGTTAGCCGTGCAGAGCTCATGCAACTAGGAGAGAGCAAGTTAGTCTATTCCATCTTGTTCATTATCAGCTGAATGGTGTACCAAGTTTTAAATCAGTTACACGCATGGATACTGACTGAACACTGTGCAGTTGCACGGGGCCTAATTTGGCCAGCAGAGCCATTAGGGCTAGTGACAGCGTATGAGAAGGAAACAGCTTGAGTTTGTCTGGACTTGAGAAGAGTGATTGAGGCTAGGCTGCCATTAGTGGACATGTGTTAAATACCCTGATCTAACCACAACCCTTTTCTCTTGCATGGGCACAGATCAGCACCTTTAACCTCAATTTAGCTAGTTGAGATTGATCCTAGGCTCCCCTGGGGTTAGTCTTGACCATTTTAGTCAAGACAAAAGGTGTTAACCTGCATCGGCACAAAGGGAAAGATTAGGATTGGCTAACCTTGACCTCTTTTCCTTATCTAGGCAGGTCTTCTGTGTATAATACAATTTAGGAAGTATGCTGTCATTTGGGGCTTGGATGTGAGAGTGCTGAGCCCCCTTTGAGTTGAAATCCAGTGTGAATCACAGATGCCCAGCCCCTTTCAGGTTATTTGCATAAATTTGGAACACATCTGGGAATGCAGTGATAAACTATTGTATTTTTAATGGCGTTGGGGATTGCAGAAAGCATTGAACATTATGACTTGTCAGCATGGTGCAAATGTATTTTATGTCAGTTTGATAGTTCCTATTATTCTGTAAATCTTTTAAAATTCAGGGAGAGCAGAAAAATAATCAAATTTCACTTAAAACAGACAGTTCCTAAATATGCTGTGGCCAAATAGAAGAAAAAACAACCCTTGAGTGATTAATTTTGGCTTTATTTTTTTTTTAATTTAACATGCTGCAGAGTCTCTACATATTTCACAAAGAAAGGTCTTATAGCTGCCATGTGGCACCGGCATGTTGAAGTTAGGCAACTGTCATAGCCCAGTATTGCTTTGCACATATCTTGGAGATTAAATAAATTGTATCTGTAGATGGTAGCAGAAAAAGCAGAGCCCTTCAGAAAATCATCTTTTCCAGTCAAAATGGTGAATGCACTTTGCACCATTGCATGCCGGTGCAAAGGGCATTTGTGTGTAGTGGTTTTAAGTGCCCCTGCCATTTTTAAACAAACAATGACGGACTCAAACACTTTTGCACTTAGGGGACGTCCTCACACAGTTTACAGGTGGAATTTTTCTGGGTTATTATTCAGATGAGCAGTAGTATCCATTGCTTTCCTCCAGTGTGATATCAAAGCCATGGAACAGCAGACAACTGCTGCTACACACACCTCAGCTGCAGTGGATTGATATTGCCTCCTAACACAAACCTCAGTTCTCCTCCTGCTTAATTCAACATTAACCACATTTTAAAAGTAAATTTAGTGCAAGTAAGTGGTACAAGATCAACAGCATTAGTGTGAAATCTGGTATCTACGAAACAGGTACAGTTCAGGCAATTACAGTGCAGGTTTCCTTACATTGCCCTCCAGTGGTTCTCAAGTCTTGTTGTGGAGTTAGCAGCTGTTCCGGGTCCGGCTGGTCTGTTAGGATTGCAATCACAAGTGCTAAATATGAGGTGGGCACTTGTCCACTAGGACATAGACCACCAACTCATTTTACATAGCCCACCAATTACAGTGGACCTGATTCTCATTATGCTAAGGCCCCTTTCAAGTTTTCAGAGCCGTGTAAAGAGGTCTTGGTGTAAATGAGAAACGAGTCCAATGATTTGAGGCTTTAGACAGTACTGACAGTAACGGACCTGGGATGGATCTAAGTTAACTAGATGTGAATGGCATTGTTTTCTAATACCAACCCCCTCTACACCTTTATTTGTTTGCCAAGTTAGCTATTTTAGCAAAGGAAAAAACAGTGAAAAATTGTTAGAGTAGATAAACTTAATTTGTTTAAAAATAGGGGGAAATGTATATGATCTTCTAATTGTATTTTTGGGTGAGAGAAGGCGAGCCTGGTAACTAAGGCCCAGATCCTCAAAGGTATTTCGGTGCCTAACTCCCATAGATTTCAGTTAGGTGCCTAAATACCTTTGAAGATCAGGGCCTAGATGACAACAATCCTTAAGTGCAACGCATAAGTGTGGCCCATAAATCTGATCACATCTGACTTTGAGGATACCTACCCTGGAGCTGGAGGTGTAACTGTCAGTTCAAGTAGACATACCTGCACTAGCTCTGATGGAGTGAGCACGCTAAAAATAGACGCATCGCTGTGATGGTAGAAGTGGTAAGATAGGCTAGCCGCCTGAGTACAGTCACATCCAAGATGTGTCCTCAGGGCAGCCAGCACCTCCCACCACATGCGCTGCTGTGGCTACACTTCTCTTTTTAGGGTGCTAGTGTTGGTATGTCTACTCAAACTGCAATGACACCTTCAGCTCCAATGTAAACAGACCCTTCAAGAGTGCATTTGTCTGATGATTAATAACACAGACTATATTTTGGGGTTGATTTTGGAATTACATACTCCTAGTTGCTGAACGACAGGATTTTAGTTATGTATTAAAGGGGAAAAAAGTTTTCTGGATCACTAAGAATTGTGAACCACTGGAAGATGCCACCCTCTTTCTTGTTTTTTAAACTGAATTCTTGTGGAATTAAAGGTTTCAGAGTAGCAGCCGTGTTAGTCTGTATTCGCAAAAAGAAAAAGAGTACTTGTGGCACCTTAGAGACTAACGGATTTATTTGAGCATGAGCTTTCATGAGCTACAGCTCACTTCATTGGATGCATGAAGTGGAAAGTACTTTATGCATCCGATGAAGTGAGATGTAGCTCACGAAAGCTTATGCTCAAATAAATTGGTTAGTCTCTAAGGTGCCACAAGTACTCCTTTTCTTTTTGTGGAATTAAAGTTTCCGAGCTCCTGGTGAAAATGGGAAGGCCCTTGTTTCTGGATAGACCTTCATGTAACTGTATCAGAAGATTGATTTTTTTTTCATACTTTTTTATATACTGTGCTCTGTGAAACTTACATATTGGAGGGGTCCTCCCTCCAAACTCTCTTACCTCCGGAAATGGGAGACCATCTTTCTGTGAACCCAGTTTAAATGTCTGAGGAAAGGGCAGGTTAGATTTACTGTAGCGCTGTGAACTGGGTGCTCGTATGTAATATGATTTTCTGCACGTCATGTACAATCACACAAGGAATTATAACCAGGCTTTAATACTACATTTCATAATGTACTTTTTAAATTTGCATATATGCAGTCGTCCGTTGGGGCCTGTGCATCAGAGCTCTGTCATCTTTATCTGGAAATCCAAACAAAACCTTATCTGAACTTAGTCACGTAGGACCAGATTGTCAAAGGTATTTATTTAGGTGTCTGATGCATATAGGCACTTAGCGGGATTTTTAAAGCACCTATTGAAAATCTCACTAGATGCCTACCTTCTTTAGGGACATAAATACCTTCAGAAATCTGTCCAAGAGGCCAAATTCACTCTGGTATAATTCCATTGAAGGTAAACTTACCCCATTTATATAGTCTGTACTCTTTGTCTGCAGAAGTACATGTGTTTTATATTTGGTACAGAAGAGGAGGCAATAGCCAATAAATAGGGCCATTGTGGCTTTATTTGAGCGAAGGGGATTCATGAACTAGTAAAACTACTATTAAAAGCCGTTGTGCTGAACGTGATGCAACAAGTTTCCGTCCCCTCTCCCCCTCCCCCAATGGCCGGAGCCCTGAATTATTCTCCTGTCTTTGGACTAGTTAGAAGCTGTTTCTTTAAAGTGGCGGCTGGACATCTCAAGAAAAGGGAGTTGAAAGTACACAGCACTTTGCAGGATGTACTCAAATTGGAAGATCTGGCCTGTAGCTTTTATTTTGATAAAGTAAGACTCTCTAATTTTTAACAGTTTGTATAACAAGGCTTGAAATTATGGGAATCCATGTGACCTTCCTTCTGGAATTCCTGATAGTGACAAGAGGCCTATTAATGATGGTTGTTGCCACAACAAACAGCTTATGTTAGTCTCATAAATTTTCATAAAGCTTTTTTCATTCCCAGATTGCTAATCATCATTCCTCAAAATCATTGCAAGCTAAAAATCAGCACCATTAGTCATTACCAAGAGGGTCATTTTTAAGGCAGTGAGCAAAATAATTCTAGTTTATTTCAGTACACAACTTGAAATCTCAAGTCTCAATATCCACTCAGAACATTGTTTGCATACATGTGAATCAAATATTAGAAAGTCGTGAGTGATTATGTAGTGAATTTCCTTTTATTCCAAATGTCATCTCATTTGTGAAGCCAACTGCTGTCAATTCCCCCTCTAGGGTGCCAAAATTACAAAGTCTGCCTGGAGTTAATCACTCTGGGCCAAACTCATCTCTGGTGTAACTCTACTGAAGGTAAGTTTGTCCCTTTCTCGATCAGCTGTGGCCACTGTTCTCAAAAATGACTGATGAGTTTAGGTGCCTCCATTTTTGGGTGCCCAATCTGAAACCCCTTGAAGGGCCTGATTTCCGGAAGGTGAGCGCACTGAGCACTTTCTGAAAATCAGGCTCCTCTAAACGATCTCAAATTGGGCTCCCAAAATCACTACTCATTTTTGAAATCTTGGCCTCTTTTGCTGCTGTGTATATCTTGTAACAGCATCAATTTCAGTATTAAACATAACCTCTGTGACTGCCTGTTTGAGGAGAGGAATAAAACCCAGGGTTTTGTATAGGTGACTGTCTTTATTTATTAAGAATTCCACCTTGTAATAAGTGACAACTGCTAAACTGGTGAATGTGTGGGTGTGCAAAACGAAACATTGCAATTGTCATTAATGCTATTTTGGGTTTGCAGATGATATATATTATCTTGGCAGAATGTGTGGGCTAAGCAATAAAAGAACTTGAAATGAGGTAATGACACTTGAGCGTCTAAGAGAAAGATTAAGCAGGAATGCCATTCACTGTGGGGAGGATGGGAAATATTGTGCTTCTCAACTTGGGAACCATAATCAAGATGTGTTACAATGACTAAGACAAGCGCCTCATAATAAAAGATACCTTCCTCTTCTTAATTTGCAGGTTGCCTGAGGCCATTGGTTCTTCCTCATAGTTACATTAACATATCTGAGTTCGAGTCCTCCTTCCCAGTAGGAACAGTGGTATATTATCAGTGCTTTCCTGGATATAAACTAAAGGGGACAAAGTTCCTTGAGTGCATGTATAACCTTATCTGGTCACATAGCTCACCTAGGTGCCTTGATGTGGAAGGTAAAACAGCTTATTTGTTTTTAATTTTGGACAATTAACATGATATATTTTAATTGAACTTAGGGCTACAATTTTTAGCTCCATTTTGTCCACTGCCTCCTGAGGACGTACAAAGTGCATCCATTCAAGCTCCTGTTTTGTTGTACGTATACTGTGTAATCTGGAACATCGCATAGCTTAACTGTTAAAGTTACTTACATAATGTTTGCTCTGTCAGTATCGTAATCATACTAGCTGAAGTTTGTAACAACAAAGACTGTTTATACTTAAAATCTAAAAAACTATGTAATCTGCTGTCTTTCTAATGAAATGCTGAGAAAGTTAATGAATCTATATTCACATAAGGACAACCTGAGTAGCTGAAGATTTCAGCACCATACCATTCTGAACTAAAAGCATTTGTAAATACTATTAAGTATCAAGTTTCATTTCAGCCTGCGTGCCAGGTGTATGCAAAATCTAATACTGCATGATTCTGCATTAAAAATTACTGGATGTTGTACCCAAAAGTACTGGAGTGTTTCTTATTTTTAATTAACAGTCCAGTTTTCAAAATTCTAAAAGGTCTTTGCAATGTAAGGGTTCCACCTTCAGGAACTGACTTTCTGATCTAACATCCTAGAAATTTAACCACAAAACAGCCCTGCATAAATCGTCTTTCTTTTTATTTTTTGTAGTACATGAAATACATGTTACAGATAAAATTATTAGAAAGAGACTGCCTGTCGGATATCATAAAAGAAATTACAAAATGAAGCAGGATTAGCCAGAAGTAAGTCTTTAATGTGTTAGGAGCATTAAAACCCACAAACACAAATGTATGAAACCTGAAAATTTTGTATGTGTCATTTCCCTGTGCTCACTTAACACAGATGACAGTCTGAACTACCTGTTCCAGCTCTCGTCGACGTACATGGCAAAACTCCCATTAACTTTAATGGGGGCATGTATCATTTGTATTATATTAGCACCTAGAGCTCCATTGTGGTAGGCTTCTTAAAAATATACAGAGAGTAAGAGAGAATCCCTGCCCTGAAGATTTTGTAGTCTAAATAGACACGTCAAAGAAAGGGTAGGAGAGGCAAAGAAGTATTCTCCCCAATTCACAGATGGGGAATGAGACAGCGATTAAGTCCCTTGCCCAAGGTCACACCGGACGTTTGTGGCAGAGTGGGGAATTGAACCTAAACCTCCTGAGTCCTGATCCAGTCCCTTAATCACAAGCTCATCCTTCCTTATGATCGCTTTTGGCACAGGACTTGTTGTTCTGTTGTAACATTAAGACCAATTTTTTCCCCGGTGATTACTTGTAGAAACCCTATATATACAGGTGATGGACAAACCACAAATGTTTCAGATAGTACGAGAATGGGTTATCTTGAGATTTTAGGTCCTTTCTTTTTCCATATGGGTAGGACAGAGTCTTATAGCTGAAAACTTCATTTCTCAGGTGTCATGTGGGACCGGTGTAACTGGAACACACAGAACTTGTAAAGTTCCATCCAGCACCTGTAAATCAACTTAGGTATTCACATTTGAAAATGACAGGTTTCAGAGTAGCAGCTGTGTTAGTCTGTATCTGCAAAAAGAAAAGGAGTACTTGTGGCACCTTAGAGACTAAACACATTTATTAGAGCATAAGCTTTCGTGAGCTACAGCTCACTTCAGCTGTAGCTCACGAAAGCTTATGCTCTAATAAATGTGTTTAGTCTCTAAGGTGCCACAAGTACTCCTTTTCTTTTTACTTTTGAAAATGTTGGCCTAAGTGACTTATTCAAGAAGAGTCAGACTCCAGGGGTCCTGCTTCCATCTAATTCTCCAACCAGTGAACAGCACTCCCACCCTTTTTATCCAGTATTATAGAATAATAGACGTATAGGGCTGGAGGGAACCTCAGTCATCAAGTCCAGTCCCTTGCTCTGAGGCAGGACTGAGTAAACCTAGACCATCCCTGACAGGTGTTTGTCCAACCTGTTCTTAAAAACCTCCCATGATGGGGATTCCACATCCTCTGTTGAAAGCCCATTCCAGAGCTTAACTATCCTTATGGTTACAAATCTTTTCCTAATAGCTAATCTAAATCTCCCTTACTGCAGATTAAGACCATTACTTCTTATCCTATTTTTAGTGGATATAGAGAACAATTGCTCATAGTCCTCTTTAGTACAGCCCATAATAATATGTTGAAATGTTGAAGACTCTTAGCCAGTCCCCTTTCAGTAGTCTTTTCTCAATACTAAACATGCCCAGTTTTTTTAACTTTTCCTCACAGGTCAAGTTTTCTATGATTTGTATCTCTCTTTTGTTGCTCTCTTCTGGACTCTCTCCAATTGGTCCACATCTTTCCTTAAGCGTGGTGCCCAGAATTGGACACGATACTCCAGCAGAGAGGCCTCACCAGTGCCACGTGGAGTGGGACAGTTACCTCCCATGTATTACATACAACATTCCTGTTAATACACCACAGAATGATAATGAGCTTTTTTTGCAACTGCATCACATTGTTGACTCTCATTCAGTTTGTGATCCATTATAAACGCCAGATCCTTTCCAGCAGTACTGCCACTTAGCCAGTTATCCCCATTTTGTAGCTATGCATTTGATCTTTCCTTCCAGAGTGAAATACTTTGCACTTGTCTTTACTGACTTTCATGTTATTGATTTCAGACCAATTCTCCAATTTTGTCAAGGTCCTTTTGAATTCTAATCCTGTTGTCCAAAGTGCTTGCAACCCCACCCCACCCCCAGCTTGGTTTCATTTGCACATTTTATAAGCATATTCTCCACTCCATTATCCAAGTCATTTAATGAAAATATTGAATAGTACCAGACCCAGGACAGACACATGCAGGACTCCACTAGAGATCCCTCCCAGTTTGACAGCAAACTATTGATAACTACTTCGAGTACAGTCTTTCAACAATTTGAGCACCCACTTTATAGTAATTTAATCTAGACCACACTTCCCTAATTCACTTACAAGAATGTCATGTGGGACTGTGTCAAAAGCCTTACTAAAATAAGATACCTCACATCTATTGTTCTCCCCCTCCTCTACTAGGCCAGTAACCCTGATGAAGGAAATTAGGTTGATTTTTGTCATGATTTATTTTTGACAAATCCATGCTGGCTCTTCCTTATAATCCTGTTATCCTCCAGGTGCTTACAAATTGATTGTTTAATAATTTGTTCCAGTATCTTTTCCAGATATTGAAGTTAAGCTGATTGGTCTATACTTACTGGGGTCCTCTTTGTACCCCTTTTCAAAGATAGATATTATATTTACCCTTTTTCAATCCTCTGGAACCTCTTCTGTCCTCCATGAGTTCTCAAAGATAATTGCTAGTGGTTCCAAGATTGCTTCAGTACCTTAAATACCCTATGATGGTTCCTAAAGTACCATATGATGAATTTCATCAGGCCTTGCTGACTTGAATGATACAACTCATTTAAATATCCTTTAACCTGTGCTTTCCTTATATTGGCTTGTGTTCCTTCCCCCATGTTGTTAATATTAGTTGAGTTGAGTATCTGGTCACTATTACCGTTTTTAGTGAAGACTCAAGCAAAATAGGCATTAAACACATCAGCCTTCTTGATGTCATCAGTTATTAGCTCTCCTTCCCCGTTAAGTAGAGGGCTTGTGCTTTCCTTTTGTCTTTCTCTTGGTCCTAATGTATTTTTAAAATCTCTTATTCCCTTTGATGTCCCTTGCTGGGCGTAACTCATTTTGTGCCTTTCTGATTTTCTCCTTACATGCTTGTGCTATTCTTTTGTTGCTCCTCCTTCTGCACCTTGCAGTTGAACTTAGCAATGTCAGCTCCGCTTTACAGATGCCTACCATATATCACAACTGTATTCATATTGCAGTATTACCCACCAGCATTTTTCATAGAGGGGATATTCAAATAGCAAATTAGTCTCTTTATTTATTTCCATGATCAATACTAAATGTATTCTCATAACATTACCTGTTCTGGTCTTTTAATGAGAGATTGATTAAAAGCAAATAGTTGTTAGGAACTTTTACCAAATCTTTATAGTGCTCATATTTTGCTGGAAGCAGTTTTGCCTGTAGCTTCCTGTTTTTGACATACATTCTTCTCTAGGCTCCAACAATATGCAGATTGAATTTAAAAAAAGAAAAGCTATGGGCTCTTTAGTAAACCTTTCTCCAGAGTGGTACCAGACTTCATAACAATGATTGTTTCTAATTTTGGAAAATATTGATGTAGAAGTGTTCCAGGAGGGCACCAAAAATTGCTCTTTCTGCTGCATACGCACAAACAGTTTTTCTTGCCTGGGCAGTTTCTGTGGTTGCATTATATTTGATTCTCCATCTGAACATCAAATTTCAGATCATATGGAGCCTGGCATCAGAGTAATCACACAAATGATATCTGTGAATCTTATGAATTTTGCCTCTTTCTAAACTATTTAGGCCGAATACATTGCTGGTGTAACTCCAGTGAAGTCAGTGGAGTTACACAGGGAAATATTTGACTTTTTCTTTCCTTTCTGCTGCTATAACTGTAGCATGAACATTTTTAATTAATACTACACTATAAAATTTACTTAGTGCTATAGCTGTGGGAATCTCAAAGCATTTTAGATACTTTACATATAGAATCAAAGTAACTGGAAATGGAAAGAAACTATTAGTTCATCTAATCTATCTTCATACTGCTAGTGCAGGATTATTCCCTATAATACACTTTTCCAATGCTTAATCCAATCTAGTTTTAAATGTTTCCAATGGACTTCCACCACATCCTTTGGGACACAGTTTCACAGCTCTGGCTGTCGGAGGGAGATTTTTCTTATAATTAACCTAATTGTTCCTTTTCATATGTATTGTATGGTAATTCCTTTATCCAGTGTTGACATGCAGCCACCTCCATGGAGGGATGCAGCAGCTGTTTAGGAACTGTTTTATATTTTACACACACACACACTCTCTCTCTCTGTTTAGGAACTGTTTTGTATTTTACACACACACT